AAAAAACTGTACACACGTACACTTAGATAGCGAACAAAAGTGATATCAGGCCTGTTTCTGTTTTTTTGCCTTTCTTAACCTCTGTTGCCCTTCTTCAATGGCGTAATCTGAATAGGCTACTCGAAGGGCTCGCTCGTTGCTATGTGACGTCACACTGGCTGTGTTGAGTCGGTCACGAATCAATACCGGAAAACAATAGAGTCACCCCGTCCCTGCTGTCTTCTTTAATACAAATTCCAAATTACATTACACTGAACAAGTATGCACGTTCCTGCATTTCGAATGTTTACTCACCTTGCATGGCTTAATACTCCGTCATTTGACGGGACGCTTCTTGGATCTTATGAAGGAAACCTATTTGCTCTGATTATCCATCTTGTTTTGAATGCCGCAGAAGTTTCACGGGAGGAATGAAAATAGCACGCGTGTTGTATTTCCCATTTGACAGCCCTGTCAAATGGATAACCGCAAGCGACCTCTCATTGGCCAAGGTCTCGGAAACCGAAATGCCAAATTCGGAAAATGATCCCTCGCCTGTGACAACAGACAAACATTTCCACTTCGTACAATGAATACGACGAGAGAAGACGAGAAAAACCAGCAACTTAACCTCATTATCAAGACGCTGGGAAAGCGAGGAAAGGAATCCGAACAATGGAAAAACGCCGACCAAGATTACTGGAAGATGAGTTTAAATTTGCTTTCGGAGATTTTGAGCAACGCTTCGTCAACAGGGTCCATCGTGCTTCGACCTTACGGAAGCGCGGTTGAAGATTTAAAGAGCGAAGAAGCTGATGACTTTGGAGATGTGGATATAATGATGTTTCCAAATTCACATAACTTGTTAATCCACGAGGAACTGATCGAATATTTACCCCAGAGTCCGCTGTTTGTCAGAATCAAGGGAGTCCATCACCCTTTGTTAAAGTTCTGCTGCGTGGAAGACATGGACTACGTCTCTACTACAGCTGTAAAAGATTCCCATGATTTAATCTACGGGGATATAGGCAAGTCGATTGCTAGTACAGCTTTTGAATTTCTTTCACGCGAAGAACCTTCCTGCCCTCCGCCATTCACTTGTCGCTACAAGGACAGCAATGACAGTCCTGCGGTAAAGTTTAATGTATTGCTCCCGCCTGATACTGACGTACACTACCCCTCAAGGAAATTACCAATGAAAGAATCGCTGCTAAATTCTTCAGAGTTCCCAGCAAAAACAACGCATGTACAAGAAAGTGAAACAAATCTTGACAGGAAAACAGAGCAACAGAATGAAGATATCAGCGAAAATACAAGTGGCTTAAAAGGAGAAGAGCAGCCGTTACGGCGCACGACAGATGTAACGCAAAATCCAAGTTACAATAACAAAGATGGCAAAACACACAAAACAAAGAGAATCAAAGGAGTGGAATTCTTGTGTACACACATGTTCCCTAACGGCAGTGAGAAAGCAGAACTTCGGAAAAATTACGTGGAAGCCGGAATTGATTTTGTCCCTGCATTAAGATCACCAGGATGGCCGAAGGTTGCACAAGAATGGATCAGAAGAGAGCGTAAATGGCCTTCCTCTGAGATAGTGGGCAGTGTGATTAGGGATGGTTTTCACTTGGTGGTGAAGTCCCCCAAAGTCGGTGGCAATCCAAATTGCGACTTCAGAATTTCCTTTTCACATGCAGAATACCTGTTAAGCCAAGAGATGAACGACATCCAACGCGAGTGCTACCGATGCCTGAAGAAATACCATCGAGCTTATCTGTCCACACACCCAAAGGGTCTGGTGACATTCCACCTGAAGACTATTCTTTTACAAACCATTGAAGAAACCGGTTCTGACTTGTGGACGGAAAGTAACCAAGCTGGGTGCCTAATGAACCTTTTCAGCAACCTTTTGAAAGCCCTTACAGAGAAGCATTTGCCACATTTTTTTGTGAAGTCTTACAACATGTTTTGCGTAGACTACATTGAAAATCCTGAAGTTCTAGAATCATTGGCCTCCAAAGTGGAACAGATAATGCAAAATCCGGTGCAATTTGCTCAAGAGCTAATCCAGGTTGACAACTTCCAAGATGAAAGACAAGTTCAAAAGGAGAGGGGTGTTGGTCCAGGCCGTGAGTTAGGTTCATTCAGCAAACACGCCACAGATAAACAAGCACAAAAAGATGAAAACACTGAAGAAACTCCATGCAGTGATGACTCCCAGACAGGAAGCCAAGTCAATCGAACCAAAGCGAGTCATGAAGGAGCTAGTCCATTTGCATGGAAGCGATACGAAGACTTGAAAGTCAGTTTTCTTGCTATCAGCAACGAGTTGGCTGATGTCGCCTTCAATGACCATGAAGGTGTTAGACCACTCAAACTGCTCGATCCCCTGGAGACTTCTTTAGTGCAAGACATAAGAGAAATTCGAAAGCAAGTGGACTTTACCCGTGAGGAATTCTCTAAAATATTTGCATTGATGGGCAACCTTGTCTACTTCAAGCTTTTGCTTAGCACCGAGCCAATCATGAGGCGAAGAGTACTTCATGGAATCCAAAGTGCACTTGACAATTTCAAACACATCTTGAGACATTATGATCACGAAGCAGGAACTGTAGAAGCTCTGTCTCTAATGCTTGACCCAGCTGCCGAAGATCCTTTTGACTTGAACAACGTTATACCGGCTGGTGGCGGGACGCAGATTGCGCGCATGTTTACTGGTAATCATTACACACCGGAGTCGAGGTCAGATAATCCACAGGTTGACATGAATGAAATACCATTAGATTGACATCACCGTTGCATACAAGTAAGGCAGGTTAAAGATAATAGGTGATCTGCTATGTAACTACATGTCAAAGATTGTTATTCAACGTTGGCAAGATGTGTGGGAGTAGCCGCGTCATTCTTGTTTAGAATGGATGGTCTAAGGCAATCTGTTCCTTCGAAACGGGGTGCTGATATGCTCAATTTCAGGATAACTTTTGATTTGGAAAATTTTAAAAGTCACGACAAGTATTGTTATCTTAAAAGATAAAATGTGAAAAGCCAAGTAAATGGGTTAAGGGAAAACAAAGGTGTCCCTGTTTCCAGAGAGAGTTGCTTACTTTAAATAGGCTGTTTCCGCCCCCAATCAGACTACATTAACTATACTAATGCCATATTTTGTTCGGTTGTTCTTTTCAAACTGCAGACGATATTTCGAATGAACTTAATAGTTACGCAAGTCTCTCACTTGCATGTTGTCAGGTTATTACGGCGGAAGGGGTTAACGGAGAAATGGATCTATTCGGTAGTAGTATAAATCTACTAGCGTTCTATCACGAATGCCGTTCTCTGATTGGCTACGCTACTCACTATCTATTCTGTGATAGATAG